CTATGTTTATTTTTTATAATATGCAAAGGTTTCATGTTTGATATAGTTATTGTGGAGGCTAAATATAAACTAGTCTACATGTATGAAAATATGCAAATAATAATGTAGGATAATAATGATGTATCTCTTTCATATGAGGGGCCATTGTTTATCGTCTAACACAGGCATGCAAACTAGGTAAATGGTAATTTATAGTCTAGCATAATGTATTGCTAGAATCTTCCCTTCCATTTTAGTTTATTTGATCTCTTTGATGGATTCATCATTTTTCTTGATTGACTTTCTGGCTGCTTTCCTCTTATAGAGCTATGAATATCAGAATATATCGATCATCTCATTCATCCCTCTCCCCTCCCAAAATAAAACCCAAGTGAACAAAGGTTTAGTTAGTTTATGAAGCCGCTGCTTTCACAATAAACATGAAAATCAATGTTAAAATTGAATTGAAATTTGACGAGTTTAGGAGTGCTGCCAGTGGTACACGAGATCTGGCTCACATTTAACTAAATATTACATATAAAGGCATAAAGCAACCTATTTTTCCATGAATGCATTTTCATAACTAGTTATTTTCTTGGAAACGAACAGAGCTAACTAACTGTTATATTTGATCAGTTGGAGAAAACTTATTCTGTGCGTGTCTGGGGGGGGGGGGGGGGGTGTACTGGCTGTGATTGTGTAGAGTGTAGTACAGTAATTTTCATCACCCCCTGATTTTGTACCCTTGCCCGCTGGTAGAAATAAGATATCTTCCCTTGTGATGTATTAAAAGAAAAAGAAAAAAGATAACTAAAGTGTTGCGAATGACCATGGTGTATGTAGGTGGTGGCATGTTTGGAGGTTTTAGCAACCAACAAGGTGGCGGAGGCTTCTCAGATTTTGGCAGTTCTGTTGCTGCAAAACCCGCATCTCAACTTTTCACTCAGATGAGAAAATAGTCTCAAGAAGGCTGGACTCCTGACATATGATGGTTATGTTTGTTTGTTGTAATGTAGCGTCTCTGTCGTTCAGGTTAATTTATATAGTTGATCGTCTCTGTCAGCCTTTTTGAATTGAAATATTTACTGCAGTCAATTCAATGCCAAAATTTGTTTCCTTTTCCCCAAGTATTGGAAATAGGGGTATGAAAGGAATTAAGGGATACAAATATAATGAATCAAAAACAGTGAATTTGCTCAATTGCATTAAAAACAGTCAATTCAATTGATCAATTGTATTGAGATTGTTATAGAGTTGAATCTGGATTCAGTGCCTCCTAAGGCCTAACTTGCGAAGGTTCCTGGATCTTGGGGTATGAAGAGTTCTAGTTTTTAACCCGAGATTGGATCTATCTATGTATCAGACAAACATTAAGATTGAAGCTGGAAAGGATGATATTTTGTGGGCTGGACTTGTCAAAAGGAACTTTTTTGTGTTATAACTTATAAAGTTATAAGCAAAGTCGACCTTGAAAGTTTTTTATGTGTAGACGGTTCATGCTCCATGTTACAAACAGAGTCGGTCTTGTCCCGCAACTGTCAGTGCTGGACTGCTGGTATTAAACAGGGACACCCATTCATTACTTAATCTGGCATGACAAATTTAACCTTCGTTCTTTAATCGAATTGAAGATTAAATTGCTCCTGGAAGGCTTGAAGCTTCACACGTCACAGACACTTCAATTTTAATCAATTGCAAAATTAACTCTACAAATAATTATAATGGTTCGGTGCAAAAAAATGATTTTTTTCTAAAATATCTAATCTTTTTCATTTGTACTCTAATCTTTACAAAAAATATCATAGCAAATAATATTTTATGTAGGGTTGGATTCGGTTCGGGCCACCCGGCCCGTGACCCGGCCCGTCCCGACACTGTGTGGGCCCGGGACCGGCCCGGTCGGGCGGTCCGGGACCGGGTATGGACCCGAACCGATGGGAAGGGGTGGGGCGGGCTCGGTTCAGGATTATTGTGACCCGGCCCGGGTCCGGGCCTCTTTTTTTAAAAAAAAAAATTGGTTGGTTGGGCTACTATCCGTTGGGGGTGGGGCTGGGGACAACCCAAACGGCTATATAGCCGTTGGGTGGGGTAAAGGGGGGGTCCGGGGGGTTGGCTGGTAGGGGTGGGTGGGGTGGGTGGGGGGTAAAAAAACCTATAAATACTCCTAATCTTAAACATTTTTTCATATCTCTTCTCCAATTCTTCCTAAATCCTATTCTTAACTCTCTACTCTCTAATTCTCTTATTCTCCAATATATTATATATCTACTCTCTAATTCTCTTCTCCAAGAAGTTAAGATGGAAAATTAAGATGCCATTATACGGTATAATTTTAATAAGCAGAACGACCCGAAGACCGGGATGTGGTACGCAATTTGCAAATGGTGCGAAAAAAAATGTATCATGGGGGCTTCAGGCGGATTCGGGATGACAATCAAGCATATGAAGTCATGTGACAAAGCCAAAGGATCGGGAGGTGCGGGAAGTTCCGATTGATTACAATTTTCAAAATATTTATCTCTTAAAGTTTGTTTTAATTTTCAAATGTAGTTCCTATTTCATTTCAAATAAATGCAATTGAAGTTTGTTTTTAATACTCGTATAAAACTATAAACTATAAAATATAAATTATATAAAAAAAATTAACCGGCCCGGCCCGGCCCGAACCGGTCCCGACCCGTGACCCAGGCGGGTGGCCCGGCCCGAACCGGACCCGTCCAACCCTCGGGCCGGTCCTGGGCCCACTTTTCTTGAACCGGCGGCCCGACCGGGCCCGACCCGGCCTAGGCCCGGCCCGAATCCATCCCTAATTTTATGACCTTTCTTAGTTTCTTATGACATCAATATTACATGTAAAAAATATCTTAATCTTATCTGTTAAGATTGGTCAGTGAATGTCAATTTCTCTATTGTTTAAGTATGTTCTTGTTTAGCCTGATCTATTTTTAGTACAGTCAAGATAAGAAAACGCCAAGTGTTCTCTTGCTTTCCCAACCTGTTGTTTCTTATCTTGTCCAGTTTATTTAAATTTGATCTGATTTGGGACCGAAATCGGTCAAGTTATAAACATCTTAAATGTCTTTCATATGTGTAATGTGTGCATTCCATGCATATTATATATCTCATGCATTAAAACTTTGATAATTATTTCAGTTTTCTTTATACTTGCCAAGTTTTTGAAATTAATACTCAAAAAAAACATTTTGAAATTAATAACTAGGGATGGACTTGGGCCGAGTCAACCGGCCTGGCCCGGTACTATTTCGAACTGGCTCGGCTCGGTACTGTTTTGAACCGGCCCAGCCCGAGGCCCGGTTGTGGGCCTGGCCCACTAGGCCTGAACCGTTTTCTCTTGGGGTGGGCTCCGGGTCTCCAAAAAATGAACCGACTGTGCTGGGCCTCTATTTTTTTTTTATAATTATATTATTGTTGTTTACTTATATTTACATCTTACATCTACTTAATATATACTTATATATATTAAAGTATTAAATATAAGTATATTACTCATTTTATAGTAATATACTTATATATTATATACTATAAACATTATATTATATATTAGTTAAACAATTATTATATGGGAAGGGAGATTTACCAAAATAGGACTAAATAAAAGGATAATTGCAACAATAGGAGCTTAAAGTTTAAATTCTCAAAATAGGACTAACTCTTCCTATTCTACCCTTTCCTTTCAATCCTTTGTCCTTCCTAATAGGATTTTTTAAACAATCATTATAAAATATAAAAAAATTAAAATAAAAAATTGTAAAAAATAAATAAAAAATATACAGACCTCAACCACCACCTCAGCTACCTCCACCTCCTGTTGTCGGAAAAGATTGCTAGGTTGGGGAAAAAATGTCATCATGATGGCAATTTTGAACAGAAAGCTGGATATTTTCAAAGAGTAAAAATGTAGCACTTTTTACACAAGATGGTATTTTTTCAGGCGATCGGAGTTGGTGGTGCTAGGAGGTAGAGAACGCCTTGGCAGTGACCTACATATTTTATATATTTTTTTAGGTATTTTGTTTTATTTTTTAGACTTTTTTAAATTTTGTTAAATATTTATTAGTATTTTTTAATTTTTTAATTTTTGATTTATTTTTTCACGTTTTTATTATTAAGTTATACATATTTTATTATTTTTTATATTTTTATTAAAAATAAAACTACGATTTTCTTATTAATAAAATAAATCAATTGGAAATTATAGGGAAAGGGTAAAATGGGAAGAAAAGACATATATTAGTCCTATTTTGGGAATAAAGAGATTGTAATTGTTGAATTTTGGGCTAATTTTAGTCTTAAGCTAATACCCATTATTATATCTACCTATATACTTATTATCTACTTATAAATACATATATTAAGTATGTATATATATATATATATATATATATGTTTTGGTTCAAATAAGAACATGATCTTAGAAGAGAAATAAGAATGAATCTGGACCGTTAGATTTGGTTTAAGTGAAATTCAATGTGCATTAGATGAAACTGTAATGTGCATTCGGTGAAATTCAAATGTGCAGTACAAAGGGTACGATATAGTAGACATTATGTGAAACTAAATTGTGCATTAGGTGAAATTGAAATATGCACAAGTTGAAACTGAAATGTGCAGAATAAAAGGTTTGATGTGATGTAATTTTTTTACATTTTATTTCGCATATTTCAGTTTCACCTAATGCACACTTGAATTTAAATTTTTATTATGCACAATTCAATATCATCTAGTGCACATATCAGTTTTCACCAAATGCACAATTCAGTTCCCCATAATACAATCCAACGGTCCAGATTCGTTCTCATTTCTCTCCTAAGAGTCCGTTCTTATCGGAACCGTTCCCTATATATATATATATATATATATATATATATATATATATATAATGGATCTAGTGAGAAGCCTCATACGGCTGAAAAGTGAGAAGCAATTAGGACTGTCCGATCAAAAGTTCATCAAGGGCCCAATTTTAAAATTACAAACTCGCACCGTTTAAACACTACATTCCAGAATAGCAGCTCCAAGTTATCTAAGCGCTAAAATATTTCTGCAACTGCAACAGAGAATCTGCCTATTAACTTCTACGAAGTCCAATCGCCCAACAACGGTAATAGCACTGACTACGACGACCTTCAATCGCGCAACGACGATAGTCGCAGTAATTCCGTCGAGGTTCAGTAGCGCAACGAAGAACTGGAAATCCTTCAACGAAATGCAACAGTTAAAAATCTCGAAGACAAGGGGCGCTAGGTTATTTCTCGAAGGTATGTTGCTTTCGACCTTGATATTTTTCTGAATAAGTTCTATATTTCTCGAAATCTAACTCCGGAGTGTATGAACTTATACGATTTGACCTAACTTGTAGATTATTGTTGAAATTTCTCCAGTTTGAAATTTGAAATACAGTTTCCGTGTTTATTTCATGTTCAAGTATATTCTTATATACATAAATTCAAAATTGAAGAACTTATACGCTTTATTGATAAGGATTCATGTTTGATTTGTAATATTTTAAAAATTAGAAGTTAGTGATTGAAAGTTATAATTACTTTTATTTGTTTAGTTTGTGAAATGAGGAGAATGAAGCTTCCAAGATCCAAAGCAAATAAGAAGTTGGAATTCATTGCAGAAGAAGGTAGCCAATCTAATTTAAAGTCTACTGTTGAAGTGAATGTTCCTGTTCTACAAGATTATTTTAAATTTAAATTACAATATATGATTGTTAATTGTTTTTAGTAATGAAAATTGGTGATGAAGTAATTAAAATTGTAATAAAAATGCAAGGACTTAAAAAAGAAGGAAATTCAAATTGGGGTACGATTAGGTAAAAGTTTTGTAGAACAAGGTCAGTGACACAAAGGAAGAAGCAGATTATGGATAATATGCCAATTGATATTCATGAAAACCCTGTTGTGTCTCATGTAATAGCAGAGCAAGTTATGTGCTATAAGTTACTCATTGTTTTGTATAAGTTGAAGTATAGTATTTATTAGTTTTAAATCACAATATAAATCATGCAACATAGGAACAATATACTATAGGGTGTATTTTATTCAACTCTGTTTATAAGTTTTCCTAATACTAATGTTATTAATTAGAAATGTAGAAATAATTCTGCTTATAACTGTATGATGTAACATAAGAAAACCATGTGATATAAGTTATTGATTTGAATTTATAAGTTCTGCTTTAGTGTTTATTAGTTTGAAATCAACTACACAAGTAAACCAAGCATAACAAAAGCATAGGGAGTTGGCTATTTAATTACATGTATAATTAGATTTATAGTGTTTTTCTCGTGTAAACTGATATTTTATTTTTATTTTAAAAGAAATATAATATAAAAAGAAATATGCTATAAGTTATTCGTTTAAATGAATAAGTTCCTATATGTTACTTATTAGTTTGTAACTGATAATGTTTCTTATTCATTTTTTTCCAATACAAACAGTTCTAAGCAGAATCCTGGTAGGATAACCAAACATCATTTTTAATTTAAAATGGGGTTGACATGGTATTACATGGATTTTATTATTATTGCAGTATAGGAGAACAATGAAGAAGAAAATGATGCAGTAAATGATGAAATGAAGAGGGTATAACAATATATTAAATCTGAAATAATTTGGTGAGTAGTTCTGTTAAAAGTAATGTATAGGAGCTAAAAAGTAATAGTAATGCATTTATAAGTGTACTTGTTAATTTGTTTATTACATAAACAAAAGAGTTGGACAAAGAAGGATTTGAAGTATCATGTTTGTTCTGATAAAACTTTGAATGATGCTGAGGAACAAGAAGGTAAACACCAAAAATCCTTTTTAATATAAAATGGGATTGACATGGTATTACATGGATTTTATTATTATTGCAGGGGAAGAGAACAATGAAGAGGGCAAAGATGAAGAGGAGAACAATGATGAAGATGAAGAGGGTATAACAATTTATATTAAATCTGAAATAATATGATGACTATTTTTGTTAAAAGTAATGTATATGAGCTAAAAAGTAATAGTAATGCATTTATAAGTGTACTTGTGGATTTCATAACGTTTAGCCCGTATATACATTTTGGTGTTATATTACACTTGTTGAGGACAATCCTCACCTTCCCTCCGGATCCGGGGGGAATTGTTGATTTTTCTCGAGATCTGGTCTACGAAGAACAAAGAAATTTGAACTAGAAGACGGGGATTCTTGTTCTCGGGTTTTCTCGTCTCTATTCAGTAATAAGGAAGCTCGGATTCTTGTTCTCGGATTGGACAATGCTGGAAAGACCACTATTCCAGTTCGGCTTCAAATGGGTGAAGTCGTTTCCATTATACCAACAATTGGATTTAATGTTGAAATAGTGCAGTACAAGAATATAAAGTTTAAAGTTTGGGATCTAGGAGGACAGGTTAGTATATCAGACCATACTGGAGATGCTATTTTCCAAATACTCGGGCCATAATCTATGTTGTTGATTCAAGTGACACTGATACGCTGGTTGTTGCTAAAGAGGAGTTTCATGCCATACTTGAGGAGGATGAGTTAAAAGGTTCTTCCTGGTGCACTAGATGATGATGCAGTGACCGAGTCCTTGGAGTTGCACAAGATTAAGAGTCGACAATGGGCAATTTTTAAGACTTCTGCCATCAAAGGAGAAGGCCTTTGAGGGATTGGACTGGTTGAGTAACACCCTCAAGTCTGGAAGTAGCTAAATTTTGTCTTATGAGCCAATGCATTGAGGTACAAACAGCAGAAAGTGTCCTGGGGTACAAAACTATAAATGATGATAGATATATGCCATCCTCCAATTGTTTATGATGTTATTATAGCTTCGTAGGTGAAGTGAAATCATGACTGTGGAATGTATTACTATCAATATATATTTATTTTTGACTGTGCAAATGAGGGATGGATGATTTTATACATTCACTATGTAGGCTTTTTTCTTAAGAGGATATCTAAGACAACTTGTAAAGTTATAATATAACGGCATATGTGCTTTCATCATCAGTGCTTTATCACTTAAGGATTCAGAGTTTCTTACGTTATCTTCTGAAAAAGCGTCCGTTGGTAGAAAATATCCCGGGTAGAGAAATTAGCAGCATTTCAGTATAGTAAAATAGCGTAGAGAATACATGGGGGTTGATGGCCTATTTATAGGCATCCATCATAAGTCCAAAGTCTAATCTACGTGGGCTTGGCCCATATTAATAATACATCTCCAAGCTAATGGGCGAATCGGCCCGATAAATAGGTAAATGAGCAAGGGGTGACTCCCGCTCGTGAGACTGCATCCTGGGCCTAGTTGGGCCTAAGCTCGGAGATAACGGGCCGATGTCACTGGGCTTGGCCCATTATCCCAACACGAGTCCCCCACTCCCTTAGTCGAGTAGTAGACTCGGCTAAAAGGGAAAAGTTGAGCTGCTTTGAAATCGGCCCGGTTGCCAGGCTAGCTAGCTAGTTACATAGATGTTCGTTGATAATGACGATTTGTGGTGTGCCCGAAAAGGCCAGTCATTTAACACTATGGTCCCATTGTTTGCGCAAGGATGAGACCCTCCTTGTCTTATTGATGGACTCGGGCCGGGTCGGGCCCGGGCCGGGCCTAGGCCCGGTCGGGCCGCCGGGTAGTATGACATGGGCCCGGGACCGGCCCGAGGGTTGGACGGGTCCGGTCCGGGCCGGGCCACCCGCCCGGGTCACGGGTCGGGTCCGGTTCGGGCCGGGCCGGTTAAATTTTTTTTATAATTTATATTTTATAGTTTATAGTTTTATACGAGTATTAAAAACAAACTTCAATTGCATTTATTTGAAATGAAATAGGAACTACATTTGAAAATTAAAACAAACTTTAACAGATAAACATTTTGAAAATTGTAATCAATCGGAACTTCCCGCACCTCCCGATCCTTTGGCTTTGTCACATGACTTCATATGCTTGATTGCCATTCCGAATCCGCCAGAAACCCCCATGCTACATTTTTTCTCGCACCATTTGCAAATTGCGTACCACATCCCGGTCTTCGGGTCCTTCTGCTTATCAAAATTATACCGTATAATGTCATCTTGATTTTCCATCTTAACTTCTTAAGTATTAACTATAAAGTAGATATATAAATAATAAATATAATATATTGGAGAATAAGAGAATTAGAGAGTAGAGAGTTAAGAATAGGATTTAGGAAGAATTGGAGAAGAGATATGAAAAAATGTTTAAGATTAGGAGTATTCATAGGTTTTTTTACCCCCACCCCCCCCCACCAACCAACCCCCCCGGCCCCCCCTTTACCCCACCCAACGGCTATATAGCCGTTTGGGTTGTCCCCAGCCCCACCCCCAACGGCTAGTAGCCCAAACCAATTTTTTTTAAAAAATTAGACCGAACCCGGGCCCGGGCCCGACCCGCCCGGGACGGGTCACAATAATCCAGCACCGAGCCCGCCCCGCCCCTTCCCACCGGTTCGGGTCCATACCCGGTCCCGGACCGCCCGACCGGGCCGGTCCCGGGCCCGCACAGTACCGGGTCGGGCCGGGTCACGGGCCGGGTGGCCCGAACCGAATCCATCCCTACCTTGTCTGGGTAGCAGCCCGGGGTCCTGTTATCTGATTAGCAGCCCGAGATCTTCATTGTTCCTTCCGCGAAGACTTCTTCCTTTGTTTATGATGAGGGGATGCCTCGTTAAAACCTTACCAGGAAAAAACCCGGTGGGAAAAAATCCTAGTGAAGGAAAAAGAGTACACCGGAACCTTAAAATAAAGCAAAGGAAGGCTAGTCCCCTCGGTTCTTGATTGAGTGTCAGCCTTACTGGTAAGCCGATATATGTTCAGGAAAGGCCAGTCGCATGGCTGTTTGCCAGTGGTGGCGGTCGAGCCAAGGTGTGCTCGAGAGAGACCACCCGCATGACTGTTTGCTGATGATGCCGAGCCAAGGCATGCCCATGAGAGGCCGGTCTCAAAGATGTCTGTTGATGATGCCGAGCCGAGGTATGCTCGGGAGAGGGTGGCTCCACAACTGTGCACATTGATCCCCACTGCTTGCGAGAGGATAGGGTTTCGTTCATCTGGGTAGCAGTTCTAGGTCATGTTTGCCTGATTAGCCACCCGAGGTCTTGTTCTTCCGATTAGCACCCTGGTGTCTTGTTTGTCCGATTAGCAGCTCGATGTCCTATTTCTCCGACTAGCAGCCCGAGGTCTTGTTTGTTCGATTAGCAGTCCAGGGTCTTCTTCCAAATTCAACAAAAAGGTGAGCCTTCTGGCCACTGCACGCAGCTGCAACGGTCGCCATCTGCTAAGGGAATGGCAAAGACCGGTCTTCACTTGTGAACAATGCTTGCCTGACGTTCTCGGGAGGATGCGATGAGTAGTTCACTTTGATAAGTAGTCCGTGTTGATTGCTATTATTACTTGTTACAGACATGGCTGGTAGGAGAGGTGCTCTCGCTGCTTTAGCTCCAGTGCAGGATGCTAAGTCTCGACCTTCGACGTTTGATGAAGGTCTGCCTCATGCAGGGGAGAAGCCCGGAGCTTCTCCGTCTGATGCTGGGGAAAAGCGAGAAGCTTCCCTGCTTTGCGAAAAACGACTTTCCAAGAAGAACAAAAGTATAAATTGCTCCTTAGGCCGGGTAAGGGGAGATAACCGAACTGGAAGAATCCTCTCTTACTCTGTTTGTTTCCTCGTAGGTATGGCACGTCAGAGAGGCGCACCTGCTTCCCTGCCCCAACCTTCATTTCCTCACAGGTATGGCTGGTTGGAGAAGCGCACTTGCTGCCCTGCCCTGACCTTCGTTTCCTCGTAGGTATAGTAGGTTTGAGAAGTGCACCTGTTGCCCTGCCTTGACCTTCGTTTCCTTGTAGGTATGGATAGTCGGAGAAGCGCAATTGCTGCATTGGATGCGACGAAGGATGCTAAGTCTCAACCTTTGACATCTGATACAAGTCCATCTAATGTCGAGGAGAAGCACACAACTTCTCTTCCTGATACCGTGGAGAAGCACGCAACTTCCATGCATAATGTCAGGGAGATGCTTAGAGCTTCTCTGCCTGATGCTGGGAAGAGGCACGCACCTTCCCTTCCTGATGCCGGGGAGAGGCACGCACCTTCCCCGCCTGATGCTAGGGAGAGGCACGCACCTTCCCCGCCTTATGCTGGGGAAGTGCACTTGCTGCCCTGCCCTGACCTTCGTTTCCTTGTAGGTATGGATGGTCGGAGAAGCGCATTTGCTGCATTGGATGCGACGAAGGATGCTAAGTCTCGACCTTTGACATATGATGCAAGTCCATCTAATGTCGGGGAGAAGCACACAACTTCTCTTCCTGATGCCGTGGAGAAGCACACAACTTCCCTGCATAATGTCAGGGAGATGCTTAGAGCTTCTCTGCCTGATGCTAGGGAGAGGCACGCACCTTCCCTTCCTGATGCCGAGGAGAGACACGCACCTTCCCCGCCTGATGTTGGGGAGAGGCACGCACCTTTCCCGCCTGATGTTGAGGAGAGGCACACACCTTCCCTGCCTGATGCTGGGGAGAGGCATGCACCTTCCCTGCCTAATGCCGGGAATGCTAAGAGTTTCTCCGCCTGATGTCGGGGAGATGCCCAACTTCTCTGACTGATGCTGGGGAGAAACATGCATCTTCCCTGCCTAATGTCGGATACATGTTAATAGCTTCTTGCCTGATGTTGGGGAGAAGCACTCACCTTCCCTGCTCCATGAAGAATAATTTCGTCGAGAAGAGTAAGGGCATGAAGCTGAAAATGAGTACACATGACCAGACAAACAGAAGTCTGGCTCGCCCCGCATCCCATCCGAAGCATTTAAGATAGTGATGCAGGTCAAGGGAGTGATGCAAGGCAAGAGAGTGATGCTTGGGCGACTCACTCCTTCTTGTTTGTTGAGTCGGCGAGAGAGCTCTTTTGCAGATTCATTCATTCATTCCGGTGATCGGAGGGATGCACATACTTTTTCATACGGCGAGGAGGCCAAGGTGGCCTGACCTGCTGCGATTTGAGGATGGTCGGAATGCTAGGCCATCTCAACACTCTCCAAATAGCATGGAGAGCGATCTTGGCGGGACCTCCACTTTACTTCGTCTTGATGAACGGTTGTTGATGAGGATGGCATGTGATTGCATCCGATCTTCCAAGCTATGTGTTGATCCTTGCGTGAGCATTACTCGATCGCAGGTGGTCTGGGAAGGATGGACAATCTCGCTCTTTGACACGAACTTGACATGGAGGTAGCCCTGCACGAATTTGGCGGAGAGATAGCCCTGCACGAACTTGGGTTGGAGATGAGCTTTGCATGACTCGGAATGAATGGTGATGTAATGATCATTGGCCTCGTCATGACCACGTACTTAGCTTGAATTTCGAAGCCTCTCAAAGAAGAGTTTGAACCAGCGCCAGGTAGTCTAGGCTCAGGAGTGGGTGAAGAAAGCACATGCTGCCTTGAAGGTATACACGGCTGGTCATGGAGCAAATGATCGGAGCATGCCCAAACTTGGTATGATAGGTTGACATATGGTCTTCCTGGATTTTACCGTGAGAAGTTTGGTTCGTCCAGGATCATGTTTGACCCTGATGAGTTGGAAAAGGTGGGTCATGAGGACGACCTCGATACTTGGTCTCCGAGACACTTCCTAGAGGTTCATCTAGATGGATTCACTCACGAGCATGATTTGGGACTATTTTCCAAGCTGTCATAGAGAAGATGGTCGTGATCTTAGAGCTATTCTTCATGATTTTCTTCATTGCTTGAGCTTGTATGCGTGCTTCGCTCATCTTTCAATTTACTTGGTCGTTTTTCATTCAAGAATACTTGGATAACTTATCGGGGATCTGGCTCCCCACCTAGGCCGTGAGGGGTGAAAAGTCGACAAGGTTGACCTTGACCGCGCCCTGTTGGTAAGGCGGGGCTGACCCGCACACTGTCGGTCTAGGACCAACGAGTTGTGCAAGCTATTTGGCCAGCGATTGGACAACGGA